ATATATATATAAAGAACACCATATGACTAAAAATAAATAATTATGATTATTAATATATGCTAAATAAAAATATTAAACAAAATAAGAAATATTACTCTTGTAATAGCACTTTCATTATTAAAATAGAGTATTTAAGCATAAATCAAACAATATAATAATTAGAAAATAATAATAATAACAATAATAATTTTATTTTACAGAAAAACTGCAAGGTTACCTGTTAACATGCAGGCAGCATATAACTATACATCATTAGAAAGGTACCTAATTACACACAAAAACTCTTGAATCATTTTGTTTAGAAATAGTATGCTTTATTTGATGTGCTATGCTGCTGAAATATTTGCTAATGAGGAATACAAAGAAGTAGGAAGATGGCAGCATCACTAAAGGGTGTTTGCAGGTTCATCCTGTTCCTCTTTACTCTTCCCTTCTCACTGTGGGGTGTCGACAGGTGAATATCCGGCCATTATGATAACTAATTAATTTCTATGATCAATACTAGTCTTACTTGCACCACTACACATACCACTGATGAGGCTGCAAGAGAATTCAACCAGGTCAAATACAGGTGAGGCCGCTATGCTTTATTAGTTCTCTCTTAGATTTCATGAAATAAAGAGGAAAGCAAATGGTGAATAATTCATCTCAGTCTAATTAAATATACAACTAATAAACCAAAAATGCAGCCCCGCAAGACATCAAATGCAATAAGGAAGACACTAAAGCACATCAAAACCTCCACAGAATTCAAGCGTTTGTGTCAATGGAGCAGTCAAGGCAATATAGATGTGTCCAAATCAAAAACTGGAAGACCAGATATAAAGCACAAATAAAATTGCTTAAAAAGCAGTTGATGCATGAGGGAAAACGTACCCTCCACTACGGCGAGGGGGTATCTGAGGTTGTCCGTCTGACTGTTCAGGCAGCATTGGGAGGGCTGGAAGGTGATGGGCACCATCCCTCTATTCGCCACTGAGACGACCCGCTCCTCCAACTCCCTCCACAGCTGGGAAAGATCCCGGTCAAACTCCTGCTCCAAAGAGACATGAGTTGCGGCTTGTTTCTCGCCTGTGGAAAATCAAGTAAGAGATTACATAATGCAACTGGTACTGTACATGCTAGTCAGTCTGATCAGTAATCCCATAGACAAAAGACAAAATAACATGGGCATAAATGTCAAAAGTGTAAGTTCAAATGGAAATAGAAGGTAAACACTGATCTTTGATCTTTTGACACCTTACACAGGTCATATGTTCTGCTTCCACTGAAGCTCAAGACTCTCACTGGATCATTCCCAATAAAGCACATGATCATTGGGTTTCCCTCATAGACTGTATAAAAACATGGACGTAGTGTCCGTGATGTCACCCGTAGGTTTCTGAAGAGCATTTTTGAAGCCCAAAGTGGGCGGAGCTGGCCATCGCCATCTTCGCAGAGCGTCACTCCTGGATAATCTAAAATGGGCAAAGAGGCAGGACGTGGGTGGAGCTGGTTGCTGAAACCACGCCCACCTAGCTCACCAGTGGTGACAGCAGCAGCAATCCACCTGTCACTCAAGTGGCCACGCCCTTAATTATGCAGAACCTTAAGACTTAATATAATTTAAACGGATGAGATATAAAAAATAAAAAATAAATCACCCTCTCACAGTTGTCATGAAGGGCAAAATTATGGAATAAAATCACTGTCAAAGACATGTGAATTGCGACCACGAAGTGCGGTGTGCGAAACGACTGTCAAAAATACGTCATCATTGTCACAGGCATTACTATCCGAGGGAAGATGAATCGATTCCACGAAGTGCCACCGTTTTAAACCACTGGCGCCAAAAGGGCAGATCAGCAGCCAAGCGCTCACTCGTCGTCTCAGGTAAGTGATTTTTTTTCTTTTTCAAATTCGGACATGTTTAAGGGTTAGTTATCACTAATCACATAGAGGAGTAATATTACAGAGATAGTTTAACTATAGTAGGTAAGATTAGCTCTTAGTGTACATTTAGGTGTTTAAAGAATTAGAATACAGCTGTTTAGGTATGGAGGACCAAACCTGCAGAAATTAAAAACAAATAAATACACAAATAAATAAAAAAATGTGTGTATAAATAACTAAATATGCAAAAAAATAAATAAATGTGTGTATAAATACACGTAATCTTGTTTAAATACGTATATAAATAATTAAACGTGTCAAATCCTTTGAACTCAAAGGCTTCTAAAACTTTTAACATTCTTGAGTCTATTGTAAGCTATCTTTAAAAGACTTTCCTTTCTTTCTTTTTTTTTTCTTCTTTATCATTGGTATATTTTGTTAATTTGTGTAGCTTGTCTAACTTCATGTGATGTTCGTTAGCACCATGTTACTTCATAACTGTTGTTATTCTTTCAATTGCAATAAAAAAAAAAAAAGAGTGAGCGCTTGGCTGCTGATCCGCCCTTTTGGCGCCAGTGGTTTAAAACGGTGGCGGGGCGCATGCGCACTTCGTGGAATCGATTCATCTTCCCTCGGATAGTAATGCCTGTGACAATGATGACGTATTTTTGACAGTCGTTTCGCACACCGCACTTCGTGGTCGCAATTCGCATGTCGTGTGTGTAACAGAGCTGTTGTGAAAACAAGCGTTGTGTCTGTAAACTGTCATAGTCGTACATTTTGGAGTTGTACTCTAACAAACACACAAAATCTCGTATCTGTAAACTGTCGTGGGCGTAGATTTTGGAATCCAACTCTTGACAAAAAACAGAATTACATACAATACTTTTAAATTACGCACGAGTAAATTAAAATGACACACAAATGCTTTGAATTACGTACGATTATTTTTGACAGTGATTTTATTCCATACAAAATGAGCTATATAGACCAAAACCACTTTTTATACCAGGCTGTAAAAAAATTTTTCTGCTGTAAAGTTGGGCATTTTAACATGGGGGGTCTATGGGATTGACTCCATTTTGGAGCCAGTCTCTAGCGGCCAGTAGATGAATTGCAGTTTAAGTCACTTCCGTGTTGGTTTCAAGAGAAAGACCGGAAGGTTGCCGCTTGGTTTCCCTTCACACATTTCTTCTCTCCTTACAAATATGATTGACAAATCATGGAAGCGTAAAGGGAATATTATGGAAATCAAGAATAAATAAACTCAAGAGAGTTGGCTTATGTCCAATCAGCCAGTGTCTCAGAGGATATTTGGGATTCAGAGCCTAAGGCAAGTGGCGCATTGGAAGAGACAACAGGTTCATACATTCATCATTCAACACACACCGCTAAAGCCTCCCTCCCTTTCAGTGTGAGATCCAGGCAAAGACTTTAATTAAAAAGGTTTTCACACCTCCTCAGACCTGTTCTCTTCACTACATCATTTACTCACCATTTTTTTCAACACACATCTGAGTTCCATGATATTCCTGAAATGAGTGTCTTTTTGTTTGCTTCTCTTTAATTGAAGTGAAGCTCGTTGCAGATATGGAATGTGGTAGTCCATGTCCTTTCTCTCAATTTAAATGTAATTTATTCTGTCATGTAAGGAGCGGCCCCTTAGCACTGCTCCTCTTTTTTGAGTCTCATTTGAAGTTCTCACAAGAAATTACTTTTTTATCTGAACATAAATGGTGCTGTGTTCATCTTCATTTCACTGTGGGCATGATGGGAGAAAGGTCATCGCAACTGAATGTGGATGTCAAAATATGTCATTTGTAACACTAGTGCTGTGCTATGTTTATTTGTGTGCAGGAACAGTCAATTATGTCATGTTCAGTTCACTTTATAAGGCAATATGCTTGCTTTTTGTATGAATAACTAAAATTACAGTCTGTTTCCCATAAAAATGCTGTTTTAAAGTATTCTCTTATGCCCACCAAAGGTGCATTAATTTGATCAAAAATACAGTAAAATAGTAATATTGTGAAATATTATTACAATTTAAAATAACTTTATCATATATTTTAAAATATAATTAATTTCTGTGATGCAAAGTAGGCTTGCCGCGATAGATGGTGCTGACGGTGATACCAGTGTTAAGCCGCAACACCGGTTATGT